CATCACTACAGCTGGGCATGGCAGACACTGTAGGTTGGAGGACGTCATCACTCCAGCTGGACATGGCAGACACTGAAGTTTGGAGGCCGTCATCACTACAGCTGGGCATGGCAGACACTGTAGGTTGGAGGACGTCATCACTCCAGCTGGACATGGCAGACACTGAAGTTTGGAGGCCGTCATCACTACAGCTGGGCATGGCAGACACTGTAGGTTGGAGGACGTCATCACTCCAGCTGGACATGGCAGACACTGAAGTTTGGAGGCCGTCATCACTACAGCTGGGCATGGCAGACACTGTAGGTTGGAGGACGTCATCACTCCAGCTGGACATGGCAGACACTGAAGTTTGGAGGCCGTCATCACTACAGCTGGGCATGGCAGACACTGTAGGTTGGAGGACGTCATCACTCCAGCTGGACATGGCAGACACTGAAGTTTGGAGGCCGTCATCACTACAGCTGGGCATGGCAGACACTGTAGGTTGGAGGACGTCATCACTCCAGCTGGACATGGCAGACACTGAAGTTTGGAGGCCGTCATCACTACAGCTGGGCATGGCAGACACTGTAGGTTGGAGGACGTCATCACTCCAGCTGGACATGGCAGACACTGAAGTTTGGAGGCCGTCATCACTACAGCTGGGCATGGCAGACACTGTAGGTTGGAGGACGTCATCACTCCAGCTGGACATGGCAGACACTGAAGTTTGGAGGCCGTCATCACTACAGCTGGGCATGGCAGACACTGTAGGTTGGAGGACGTCATCACTCCAGCTGGACATGGCAGACACTGAAGTTTGGAGGCCGTCATCACTACAGCTGGGCATGGCAGACACTGTAGGTTGGAGGACGTCATCACTCCAGCTGGACATGGCAGACACTGAAGTTTGGAGGCCGTCATCACTACAGCTGGGCATGGCAGACACTGTAGGTTGGAGGACGTCATCACTCCAGCTGGACATGGCAGACACTGAAGTTTGGAGGCCGTCATCACTACAGCTGGGCATGGCAGACACTGTAGGTTGGAGGACGTCATCACTCCAGCTGGACATGGCAGACACTGAAGTTTGGAGGCCGTCATCACTACAGCTGGGCATGGCAGACACTGTAGGTTGGAGGACGTCATCACTCCAGCTGGACATGGCAGACACTGAAGTTTGGAGGCCGTCATCACTACAGCTGGGCATGGCAGACACTGTAGGTTGGAGGACGTCATCACTCCAGCTGGACATGGCAGACACTGAAGTTTGGAGGCCGTCATCACTACAGCTGGGCATGGCAGACACTGTAGGTTGGAGGACGTCATCACTCCAGCTGGACATGGCAGACACTGAAGTTTGGAGGCCGTCATCACTACAGCTGGGCATGGCAGACACTGTAGGTTGGAGGACGTCATCACTCCAGCTGGACATGGCAGACACTGAAGTTTGGAGGCCGTCATCACTACAGCTGGGCATGGCAGACACTGTAGGTTGGAGGACGTCATCACTCCAGCTGGACATGGCAGACACTGAAGTTTGGAGGCCGTCATCACTACAGCTGGGCATGGCAGACACTGTAGGTTGGAGGACGTCATCACTCCAGCTGGACATGGCAGACACTGAAGTTTGGAGGCCGTCATCACTACAGCTGGGCATGGCAGACACTGTAGGTTGGAGGACGTCATCACTCCAGCTGGACATGGCAGACACTGAAGTTTGGAGGCCGTCATCACTACAGCTGGGCATGGCAGACACTGTAGGTTGGAGGACGTCATCACTCCAGCTGGACATGGCAGACACTGAAGTTTGGAGGCCGTCATCACTACAGCTGGGCATGGCAGACACTGTAGGTTGGAGGACGTCATCACTCCAGCTGGACATGGCAGACACTGAAGTTTGGAGGCCGTCATCACTACAGCTGGGCATGGCAGACACTGTAGGTTGGAGGACGTCATCACTCCAGCTGGACATGGCAGACACTGAAGTTTGGAGGCCGTCATCACTACAGCTGGGCATGGCAGACACTGTAGGTTGGAGGACGTCATCACTCCAGCTGGACATGGCAGACACTGAAGTTTGGAGGCCGTCATCACTACAGCTGGGCATGGCAGACACTGTAGGTTGGAGGACGTCATCACTCCAGCTGGACATGGCAGACACTGAAGTTTGGAGGCCGTCATCACTACAGCTGGGCATGGCAGACACTGTAGGTTGGAGGACGTCATCACTCCAGCTGGACATGGCAGACACTGAAGTTTGGAGGCCGTCATCACTACAGCTGGGCATGGCAGACACTGTAGGTTGGAGGACGTCATCACTCCAGCTGGACATGGCAGACACTGAAGTTTGGAGGCCGTCATCACTACAGCTGGGCATGGCAGACACTGTAGGTTGGAGGACGTCATCACTCCAGCTGGACATGGCAGACACTGAAGTTTGGAGGCCGTCATCACTACAGCTGGGCATGGCAGACACTGTAGGTTGGAGGACGTCATCACTCCAGCTGGACATGGCAGACACTGAAGTTTGGAGGCCGTCATCACTACAGCTGGGCATGGCAGACACTGTAGGTTGGAGGACGTCATCACTCCAGCTGGACATGGCAGACACTGAAGTTTGGAGGCCGTCATCACTACAGCTGGGCATGGCAGACACTGTAGGTTGGAGGACGTCATCACTCCAGCTGGACATGGCAGACCCTGTAGTTTGGAGGACGTTATCACTACAGCTGGACATGGTAGACCCTGTAGCTTGGAGGACGTTATCACTACAGCTGGACATGGCACACAAAAAAGCTTCAGGGTTGTCATCGCTACAGCTGGACGGGGCACAGACTGTAGTTTGGGGGACGTCATTAATTAAAACGTGCAATGTGGTGATCACGAGCACTTGTATTCTCATTAAAACACCAGATATGACCTTATATTCTTTAATACATGTAAGCGTATATGAAATTAAATCAGTATTAACAAAATACAGTTACACTAAAAACAATTGCATAAATAATGTTACATTTTGCACAAATAATGTTTTAAAATTATATTTTTGAATATAGAAATATGAAATGTTGGGCAAAAACGAAATTATTATTTTATATATAAAACGAAAACCTCCAATAGGTGTCGACTTGTCTTAATAAGTAAATAATACATTAATTAAACTGATTAGTTCAAACAGCTTGATTCACTCATAAATGAAGTAAATATGTTATGAATGGGTTATTGAATCATTGAAAAACGCCAGATCGTTCAAGACTATGTTAACTGTTCTGTCTTGTTGAAAATGTTCGTTGGCGAAACACAGCAAAAAGAGTCAAAATGTACAATGTTGTGTCTATTGACAGTATAATGAACTTACCGTCTTTTGAACTGTTGTGTAAAATTAATATCACACTTGATATGCGGATATTAGTTAAAACAGCATCCACAATAACACAAAAAAGAAAAACTCCTCCATGGACAATTAATATCCTGAATTTTGGGGGCTTTTCAGAAGTTACGCCAACGCGAAACTAGCCAAAGTTGAGCCGGCTGTATTGAAATGTTTTAATAGTGGTTTAATTGAACAGCAGTGAAAAACAGTGGTAAAGTTTTCAGTAAACTTGATCCTTACCTGGTTGTCACCAATGAGGCAGGAGCTGTTGATGGCGCTCCGCAGGGCGCGAGATTTGCGCGGGTAAACTGTGGCGCTGAGAAAGAGCGGGAGAGGCTCGCGCAGGACGTATATATATATATATGGGACGCCATATTGAATTTTACGTGAATGAAAACGAGGCTGTGAGGGATAAAGGTTTTTTTTTATTTTTATAAATGTGGCACTCACAGTATAAAGGTCCTAAATCATGTAATGTTTGCCAAAATACAGCTTTCACAACTGTTTTTGTCCACTGAACATTTTTTCAGATATCGGTATGTTGTTAAACGGCACAATCCATTGAACTCTCAATATTTTAGATAAGGTTACATAAGTTCCCTATTTACTCCGAGACATCTCTATTGAGAATCTATTAAAGCACATTTTATTAAAAGCACGATTTTTTTTTTAAATAAATTGATTGGAAGCATGCCACCAATAAAAACAAGGCCAAAATGTGTGTGATGTTTTGCAGGCATCTTGGCTTTTTTTTGTCTAAACCAATAAAATCCCATTTTTGGCACCTGAAACTCCTTGACTTCAGATTTTACACAATAACCACTCCCTGTCTATATTACATGGCCAAACAACCGTTCCTTCAGATTAGTAATACTAATCATGCATTTAGCATTTGTGTCTTTTAATCACAGTATTGTTGTTGTCATTTTACAAAAGGAATAAGCCACTTGAGACTATGATAGCTTTGAGAAGTCATTTTACCACAATGAAATAAAACCATGGCCTTGAGTGGCTTATTGCAACTATTAAAAATAAATATTGAAAGATTGGGGTGAAGTGTTGATCCCCACGTATCTTAAGGAAAGACCACCAGAAATGACTCGTTAAAAAGACAACAAGCCTTAAGGGTGGTGGTACCATGGTACAGATGGTGACACTGTCGTATGTCAAGATATGCAATGGTACTGATTGATTAACATCCATGTACCACAGTATTCACCCATTTCAAGGTACTTGTATAAATTAATGAGGGGAAAAATAGACTACCATGATATGATTTAGTGGATCACTCACATATGCAGTATATCAAGAATAATGGTGGCACACCTGCAAAATCAATTTGTGCAGCGATTCTCATTATAGGAAAATAAAAAATCTAAAACATAAATGTAAAAAAAAAGGAACTTTTTTTTTTATTTCCTGTCTACAAAAAGTGCAACTGTACAAAACAAAGTCCTCTTCATACACTTTTGTAAAACTGGTCACACAAAAGATAAAACTCAAGTGAAAAAGCCACAGTAGCGGGTCGATCTCTCAGTCTACAGCTTGTATACTTCAACTGTACAATTTCAAACTTAACTCTCATTCACAACATGACATTTTATATTTGAAATTAAAATGTTAAGCAATAACTCTGGTTCTGTTCTTGGCCTTCTTTAACACCTCCTCCAGAATAATAGTGACTATAATCAAAGTTAACCGAAAAAAGAAAAAACAATTCTAACAGTCGGCTCAATCAAAAATAATTCAGTATGTCAAAAGTCAGTATAAAACAACCAGTGAAACACAAACGGCACTGCATTCATGCACAACACATTTACACACTGAATCCATCCCTGCAAAAATCTTTAAATCAATGTGACATTCAAATAAGTGAAACTATACAGCCTCAAACACCAACATTTTTTTATTTTTGAGCAAGTCCGACTGCTTTAGAAAGTGCAGTTATTGCATTAATATATATTTTTTGGAGACAAGCACAAGGTCCAAAAACCCAAAGCCTGTTGTACAGAACAAAACATCCCTCTTCATGCATAAAATAGTTCTTTATTGTTCATTTAGAAGCAAAATATGCTTAGAAAGAGATTAGGTAAGCAGTAAGCCCTGCCATCAAACTAATTTGTCAAGATAATTGTTAAGCCAATGCCTGAGAAAGAGACGTTTAACGACGACCCTTGTACATTGTGTGTTCTCAAAACATGGAGAAGAGGACATGAAGAAAAATCTCTCCCTGAATGCATTGCTGTGAAGCTTTAATGACATAAAAACAGGGATAATTCATTTATCTCCTGTGTCGTCTTGACGGTGAAGAACTGCGGTGTTTTGAAGAGTATCTGGAAGACTGGCCAGGACTTCTAGAGTCGGCTTCATATGAATTAGATCTGTTTGTTGAGTGGCGGGACTCTGGTAAGCCCCGCCCATCTCTGTCCGGTCTCTGTTCTCTGATTGGCCGGCGCTCTGCAAACCGTGGGTCTGTGGGCCTGTCGCTCATCTGTGGGTTATTAGGGCATTCCAAGGGTATTAGCCGTGGCATAGGCACGTTGCTCGTGTCACGTTGAGGGTGGGGCGCAGGGGCGGGGTCCGTTTCCACAGGTGCATGTGTAACAGGTGAGGCCACAGGGCTTGGTTTCCCGACTGGGGGATAAGAGAGACTGCGGGTCGGCGGCTCTCGTTCTTGTTTAAGAATCTGCTGGGCGTCCCTTTCAAAATCGTTTTGCATTGTTTTGATGATAGTTTTACGTATCCAAGCATCCTCAATCAATGCTCCCCAATCACTTTGTTCCTGCAGAAATGCATTATTAAAACATCATTAAAAGCGCTTAGAAATACACAACAGCACCTCTTGCGGTGGGTCGAGACAAACAAATGTATATGTTACCCTGAGTGTGCGTATATGTCCCAGTATAAAGAGACTAAATCTGGCTCTGGTGATGGTCACATTCATTCTCTGCCGATTTCCAACAAACCTTAAAAAGTAAGAAGCAATGCAATATTTGAACCAGAAACTTGAACAGTCTAGTTGATTGATATATAGGCTATGTACACTTACCCAATGGAGCCCATTTCACTGCTGGCTCTCACACAAGACACAATGATGCAGTCCATTTCTCTGCCCTGAAAGCCATCGACTGTATCGACTTCAACCCTAAAACACAATTACACGTTATTCAACTGTACATAAAGTTTACACGCACTACCGGTCAAAAAGGTTTGGAATATTATGATTTTGTAATGTTTTTTTTTCCCTTTTCTAAAGAAGTCTATTATGTTCACCAAGGTTGCATTTATTTGATGAAAAATACAGTAAGACAATAATATCGTGCAATAATACTACAATTTAAAAGAACTATTTTCTATGTGAATAAATTGTAAAATGTAATTTATTCCTGTAATGCAAAGCTGCATTTTCAGCATCACATCATCCTTCAAAATCATTCTAATAGGCTGATTTGTTGCTCATTTATCAATAATAGTTCTTATTACTATAAACGTTGCAAAGATAATAAAATGTTGATATTTTGTTTTAATATTAAATTTCATATTTTTGTAAAAATGCTGATGTGACATTGAAGACCAGATTAATGGCTGCTGACAAATTGCGTGACAACTTTATCAAACAAATGCAGACTTCACAAGGACTTCTTTAAAAAAAAAAAAAAAACTCAATGTTTGACAGGTAGTTATAAGATTATTTAAAAAAATTGGTTCAAAAATAGAACCATAGATACAAAAGTTCATTTCTAATTATTTCTTGTGGCAATCTGCAATAAAGTTGTTTTTAGAAGTTTCATTTTGATGAACGATTATGAAAAGCTTAAGTGAAGTTGCACACTGAACACTCACTGAAGTTGCTTGTTGTTGATGCCTGAACCCCTGACGGCATCCAGTATGCGTCGTTTCTGAGCATTGTAGGGTGTGATGACGCCCACTCGCACTGACTGCTTCTCGCCCAGCAGCTTCAACAGCAGCAAGACCAGCTTGACTTCTTTGTGATTGGAAAATGAACTGACCAGCGGAGAAACACAATAAATTAACTGTTCAGACACATGTAGTAAAAAAAAGTTAAGTCCACCTTCCCACCCATATTCCTCCATTTCTTACTCTCTCTCCTTCTTCTCTATCCCATCCGTCACGTCGAACACTTTGTAGGGCTTGAAGGGCCAGCTGAGGGAACAGCGTTTCTGAGCGGTCTCACTGAGGGACAAAAGGACACAAATAAGAAGTCCATATTTATACTTGATGACCTTGGGTGCAAATTTTAGATTTGTTTGCCACACAATCCAGATGAATTACCAGCTAAAAATACTCTGAAAAAATTTTAATATTTAAAAATATTTAAATATATACATTTTTCCCGATAAATGGCATGGAGAATTTTTTTGCACAACTAAATTGTGCTTTTGTGACTGTTAGAACAAGATTAACACGGAAGTCACAGACAAAACATAAAAAAAAAAAAACTCAAGCAGCATTAGCATGAAGCTATTTCACAGAATGCAGTGTTAAATTTCAAGGCCTAGTCACACCAAGAGAGAGTATTTGCTCCATCTTTTCAACTAACCAGTGCTAGTTTAGTATCATTTTTATGCCATTTTAGTTTTGTTAAAATTTAATTCGATTTGATCTTTATAACTTCAATTTTCATTTTTGTTATTTTTTATATAAATTTTTTCCCCATTTCAGTTTTAATTTAAATTATTTTAGTACTTATTTTAGAATTAAACTAAATGAAAAGAAAAGTTCCCATGGAAACTAGCCAATTTATTTTATTTCACGATACAAGTTTTTCTTTTTCTTTTTCTTTATAGTTTACGATAATTCTGCTGCAAAACAAGATAAAATATTGCCACACAATCCAGATGAATTACCAGCTAAAAATACTCTGAAAAAATTTTAATATTTAAAAATATTTAAATATATACATTTTTCCCGATAAATGGCATGGAGAATTTTTTTGCACAACTAAATTGTGCTTTTGTGACTGTTAGAACAAGATTAACACGGAAGTCACAGACAAAACATAAAAAAAAAAAAACTCAAGCAGCATTACCATGAAGCTATTTCACAGAATGCAGTGTTAAATTTCAAGGCCTAGTCACACCAAGAGAGAGTATTTGCTCCATCTTTTCAACTAACCAGTGCTAGTTTAGTATCATTTTTATGCCATTTTAGTTTTTGTTAAAATTTAATTCGATTCGATCTTTATAACTTCAATTTTCATTTTTGTTATTTTTTATTTGAGATTAAATTTTTATATAAATTTTTTCCCCATTTCAGTTTTAATTTAAATTATTTTAGTACTTATTTTAGAATTAAACTAAATGAAAAGAAAAGTTCCCATGGAAACTAGCCAATTTATTTTATTTCACGATACAAGTTTTTCTTTTTCTTTTTCTTTATAGTTTACGATAATTCTGCTGCAAAACAAGATAAAATACCTTCTTTAAAATACACTTCTATTATTGTCATATATACCATTAACTGAATATTCATATAAATCTCACCATCACTGGGTTCCGCCAACTACTTTACAGGTTGCATAACAATATCACAGTTGGATTGTGACTGAAACTGCATCAAAAATGCCAGAGATGCCCAGCAAGTCTGCAAAAGCACACTTCACCTTTCATAAAGCACATGAATAATTTAAGCGGTTTTTCGCATGGCTCGGTGAATGCACCTTTCATCTGCGATTTATGTAGCATTTTCAATTTATTCTCGGTATGAATAGACCTTCACAGCAAAGTGGGAGTCAATTAGTACTTATTTTAGAATTAAACTGAATGAAAAGAAAAGTTCCCATGGAAACTAGCCAATTTATTTTATTTCACGATACAAGTTTTTCTTTTTCTTTATAGTTTACGATAATTCTGCTGCAAAACAAGATAAAATACCTTCTTTAAAATACACTTCTATTATTGTCATATATACCATTAACTGAATATTCATATAAATCTCACCATCACTGGGTTCCGCCAACTACTTTACAGGTTGCATAACAATATCACAGTTGGATTGTGACTGAAACTGCATCAAAAATGTCAGAGATGCCCAGCAAGTCTGCAAAAGCACACTTCACCTTTCATAAAGCACATGAATAATTTAAGCGGTTTTTCGCATGGCTCGATGAATGCACCTTTCATCTGCGATTTATGTTGCATTTTCAATTTATTCTCGGTATGAATAGACCTTCACAGCAAAGTGGGAGTCAATCAGTGTCAGTGGAACATGTTTCTTGAGATCTGCAGACCATGGTTTAGTTTGCAGTTAGCAGCTCACTATGTTGTTGAGCACTCACCACAAGCACGGTCCTCTCAGTGACCTGAGGAGTCTTAATTCAGACTCCGTTATAGGTGTCTGCTCCTGATCATACTGCCTGCACTGCCCCTGCCTACACATCATAAACATGAAGAGTCTGATTGCAGAACACGGTCTTCTCTCTCCCTCTCTACTCATGCCACAAGTGGAAACGTTCCAAACTAACAAGGAGCTGGGTGCGTACCAGTCATCCTTAAGAGCGCTGTTGTAGATGTACTTGGAGGGGAATTCACAGATGTCCGGGTGCATGCGGTACTGCACGCTGAGCAGGAGGATTGGAGAGAGTCGCGGGTTTGACTGATAAAGGCTTTTGCATAACCGTGCCATAAGAGACTGGTCGTAGCCAAACTCCTTTGCTTTCTGTTAAAACACACACACACAAAATAAATTCAAATCATGCACAAAACGAATGATACATTTTTTTGTTACTTACTTATAACCCTTATGCTGTTCTGAAAACCCCTTTAACTAATTTGGTGTGTGGCGTGTCAAAATGACTGGCCTACAAAAAAAAATAAAAAATTAAAAGGGGCTTATAAATCCCTCATTATGCTCTATTATTACCAAATACTAGATGAAAACATTTCATCAACTTAATACAAAGCCGGTGCAGAGATAGATCATAGGTCTCAATTATCTAAGCTTATGCACATTAGTTTTTGAGTGAACATTAAAAAAAAAATTCAAATAAAAAATAAAAGTTATTGGATTTTTTTTGCAATGTTCACTCAAAAACAGGTGTATAAGCTCAGATCAATGAGGCCTACGACCAATCAGTTCCAAAACGAAATACAAAACCTGTTCTAATTGAAAGAAAACAAGCAAATCAAAAGATTGAATCCATTATTTACAAAAAAAATTTTTTTTTTAAGAATTTGTTATACCATGTGTGAGTATAACGGTAGTAATTTTGTCCATTAACTAGCATTTTCAGGGGGGAAAAAATAAAAACATTAAATGACCGAGACACATAAGGGTTAATGCCATAATTTACAACACAAATCTAAAAAGACACAGAAAATCCTAACCATTTATGTGTTTAGATTTGGATGTAATACAAATACTCTATGACTAATATGGTGGGTTACTACCTGAGAGACAACTGTTGGTGGAAGCTGGTTGGGATCACCGACAAGGATTACAGCAGCACTTCGGTACAGCATGGGGATCAGAGTCTCAGTTTCTTTAGCCTGACTAGCCTACAAAAGTGCAGAGACAAACAAAGCGGCTTTGAAATATGGTTGTTGGGAGTATTAGTGCGTTTATAATAATGATAATATAAACATTAAGTAGTTTTCTTTCATCGTGTTGTCTTTCGCACTAGCAGTAATAAGAGATTCAATTCATCGATAAATGATGGTAAGTGCAATTGTAATTGTACTACTTTTGTATTCAACCAAATAAAAACACATTTCACGGAATGACAAACTAGAAGAGATTTTGGTACCTCATCAATGATGACGCAGCTAAATGGTTCATGTCCGAGACGACGGAAGGCATTCTCGAGGACAATACTTCCACTGGTGCTGAGCGTGCAGCAGATCACATGAGCGTTTTGCAGCACAAGAGCTTGACTCTCCTGTCGCCTGCTGCGACACTAAGAAAGAGACAAGAGGTACGTTTGTTTGTGGGAGTATTATAAGTATTGTTCGTTTACTATGGTCATAGTAAACTATGGAACTCTATACCACTGGCACTAAGGACATTAACCTCACGCTCTGTATTTAAATCACAACTCAAAACCTACTTGTTTACCCAATACTATCAGTCATAACATGTTCTTTAGACACTCTCCTCATCCTATACTACCAGCTATAATTCTCTCTATAATAGTATTTTCGTTCTGTGTATTTTTTGTTGCATTTACTATTCTTTGTTTGTTACTTATTGACATTATCCTTTTTCTGTTATTACTTATACTATGTTATGTATATCTGTTTCCAGTACATAATTGTACCATGATATGCAACTGCAATCATGTCTATCCCTGGGCTGGGCAAATGTCCACTGTCCACTTAATTTGATTAATTGATTGTGAAATGACTGTTTATGATTATGTGAATTGACAGTTTTGTACAGTGTCCTTGAGCTTGGGAAAGGCGCTATATAAATGAACATATTATTATTGTGAAACCTGAATGTGAACAAATGTGACCGTTTACCGCTTTAATCTGCCGACTCAGTCCTTCTCTCTCTTTCAGAAGCTGCTTCTTCTGCTCCATCAACGTCTTGAACTGTCAACCAACACATTAAGTTAATTCGACACAGCATTACAACAAAACTAAATGTGATATCTATATTCTGTCTTTTAGAAACTTGTGTGGAAGATGCATTACCTCAAAAGAATCCTTATTGGTTTTTGCACATCGCTGGGAGAGATTTTCAACAATTTGTTCCAGTTGCTCTTTCCGCCTGTGTATGTCAGCTTCTGCAGTTTGCTGAGCTCGCTCTACACACAAACACCTTATACATTAAAACCACATGCACATACATTAACTCGTGAATTGTAAATGCATGAATTTCTCCCTCACGTGCTCTAGCTTTAGTCTGGTGGTCGAGGCTGAAAGGTTTTAATGACTTCGAGATGGTCCTTTCACTTCCCAATCGTACCAGGTTTATGTCACCGCAGTTACCTGTACACAAAAGTGTTGCGAGACATGCTTTAATGTGACAGTATATGGCATGCATGCTTTTTTTAGTTGTCAATGTGTACCTTGAGGTGCGTTGATGTTTTGGCATTTCTCTTTAAAGATCAAAATTACTTTCTTCATCAGACTGTCGATGGCAGCGTTAGAGGGAGCACAGAGAAGAACTCGTGTCCGTCGAGACTTGGAGTGAAGGTTCCCCGAAGGAGCAGCCCTGTTAGTATCCTGACCAGATAACCACACACAAAACACACTCAGCTGCAGTTGCTGATTAAGGTGTCCTTGAGAGCATGCACAGTAGGCAGGAATAAAGATACATTCAGACAAAAAAAAAATACCGAAGATAGTAGTTTGTACAACAGGCCACCAATTGCTTTACTTTTCCCGGTTCCTGGAGGACCATGGATAAGGAGAAATTTTGGGGTCTTCTGTGTTCTGTTTATCATAGCAAGACCGCAAGCTATTGCTCTTGCTTGGTCCCTGTTGAACTCCTGGAATGCGAAGGAAGGAAGGGCAAGAGAAAGAACAAGCAAAAGAGTGAAGGAAAAAAAGGGAAAGAGAGTACAGGAAAGAAAGGGGCAAAATAATAACGTGGGATTAAAATCAGGTTCACTTATTGGACTGACACATTCATCCCACAAAAGGTCCTCTAGCTCAAACATGAACAAGAATAGTTGTCTAGGATTGTATTTTGTCCCAAAACATATACTACAAGTAGGTGAATTTGGAAAATGCACTGCATATTTGGTTTGCACCCCTTATCTGACAAGCCCAGTTACATTTCCTGGAACTCTCTGTCTCGCGGGTTTCACAATAATAGACATGGAATGTCGACATATACGTAAAGCGATCGAAAGAACGGAAAGGAGGACTAAGAATCTCTAACGACAACTGGCAGTGCTACATTTGCTACAAGTGCCTGCACTTCAGCGTCCGTCCATCTATCGCTGTTCTCCATACTTGCGAAATAAGTTGACAATGTTTACAGTATGTTCACACCAATCATGTAAAATCATTTAAATCATGGTGGGTGAGGGCGTCTTCATACGCGTTTGGCCAATCAATGTCTACTTATGTCACGATTAGTACCAGTTGTGCTGGTTAGACCCTGCTCCGGAGTAGGAGCTAATTTGGTTCTTGAAAAAGGCAGTCCGGTACTAATATCGCACCCAGTTCCGGTGGTGCGAAAACGCCCAAAAGTGGGTAGTTCCACAATTAGTTCTGGTACTATAAAAAGGTTCCTGCGGTGCGAAAGGCCCTAAAATGTGCAATGCTGTAAGTCCCTAGGACCAGGATTAGGAACCACTGCTTCAGATAAACCCAAACTCACTGGTGAATCCAGGTCCGGTGGGCTATCCAGAGTGTGCGTGAAATAAGACACATGTGGAGCAAGAAGAGGACGCAACATTGGTCCATTCCGCAGCAAACACAGCGCACGGAACTCCCGGAATATGCTGATCAATGATCCAATAACTTCACAGAGCACAGGTTGGGAATTTCCCGAAGATATATTACTACGTGTCTGAATCGTCAAGTTTAGAATTGGCCTGGAACCTGAGGATGGACAGAGTAATGAGACGGAGGACATAAATGTACACAATTCTTATTAATGACAGCACAACAAGCACAACCGGACCTCTGTTGGAAACGCTGGACCGAGACACATAGCCAAAATGAGGATGTGGTTCATGGAAACTAGGTTCATCGTGGGCATATGACCCAGTGTTGTCAGGCAACCAAAGTAGCACAAGGTCATCTTCTTTTGGGTACAGTTGTTTTATATCAGTTTCCTGAGAAATGTTTGCTACAAAAAAAAAGAAAAGTAAAACTTTATGAAATGGTTTATGTTTGAAAGGATACTCCCCAACTGTAACAGCTAAAGATTTTAACTGTATCAGAATTCACTTTACTGAACATCAGAAGGTTAACTGCCACACATGGCTGGACTTACCTGTGAAGCTGGCACTAGCTGTGCGATTGCTGTATTCTATACCCTGGACTGTTAGGTTAAGCTTGACTCTGCCCTCTTTGAGCCATTCACTCGCCATCTGTATAAATTGTAATTGGTTAACATTAACACTGGTACTAAATGTCAAATTAATAATAGAAGCAAGACAAAAACTAATTAAAGGGATAGTTCACCCAAAAATGGAAATTCTGTCATTAATTACTCACCCTCATGTCATTCCAAACCTGCAAGACCGTTCGGAACACAAATTAAGATATTTTTGATGAAATTCTAGATCTTTCTGACTCTGCATAGACAGCAACGCAACAGACATATTCAAGGCCCAGAAAGGTCGTAAGAACATCTTTAAAATAGTCCATATGACATCAGTGGTTCAACATTAATTTTATGAAGCTGTGAGAGTACTTTGTGCACAAAGAAAAAAATAACTTCATTCAACAATTTCTTCTCTTCCGTGTCAGTCTTTAATAGCCGCTTTTCCACTGTCGGGCCAGTGCAAGCCAGTGTTTTAAAAGGGCTGGGCGGGGCTAATAGCCTCGGACTTGTAGCACCGAGCTCAAAATCACGCTGCGTTTCCACCGTTGGGCCAGAACCTCCGCTGGCTTCACTAAAACACGCCCTTTACACGCCTCTCAGGAACAACATCACGCTACCCTATCATTTCACCAACAAATAGAAGCTATAATAAAACTAATAAGAAATAAGTCACTGGAACTAGCGCGATCACAAAACCAACATGATAAAATGCATGCTTTGTTAAAGATTTAAATCCAAAAGCATCTATGTTTAACGATAAGTGATACATTGAGCATATAATGAATTAATTTATCAGGATTGAAAATTAGTCACACAGAAATAAAACGGTATGAACCGTTATTTTACAAAAGAAAGAGGACACATATCCTACTTATTCAGTCGAATCGGTTTCTGTTTATTTGTAGTCACAGTATACATCATATTTTATACATCATCATATATATTTTTTCCATCAAAAATACGACCCGAGTAGCAGAGGGAGCAACCAAACAAAAAGCATCATTATATATGACATACGCAAAGCTAAAGTCTCAAGGCGAGACTTATGACAGATAAAATATGTTATAAATAAATATACGATTGTGATAGAGAATGAGAAGCTGACATTTGATTTCTTCAAGGTTTTTGTCGGGCTAAAAAACCCTGGCTGTTGGCCCAGAGGAAGCACCAACGAGGCACGATCAAGCCCCGGAAGTGATGGTGGAAACGTGACTGGCCCTGACACTGCACACCCGCTTTTGGCCCGACAGTGGAAACGCGACTAATGTGCGTTCACGGGAGTATCACATGCGGTCTGGTGCTGCTGACACAGAAGACAGCACTCTGACGTAGAACACGCATGCAGGGGTCGTGGTACTCTCGTGAACGCACATCGAAGACCGACACGGAAGATAATTCTTTTTTTAATAAAGTCATTATTTTTGTTTTCTTTGTGCACATAAAAGTATTCTCATATTCTTTATAAAATTAAGGTTGAACCACTGATGGCACATGGACTATTTTAACAATGTCCTTACAACCTTTCTGGGCCTTGAACATGTCAGTTGCGTTGCTATCTAGGCAGGGTCAGAAAGCTCTTGGATTTCATCAAAAATATCTTAATTTGTGTTCTGAAGATGAATGAATGTCTTACTAGCCTGGAACAACATGAGGGTGAGTAATTAATGACAGAATTTAAATTTTTGGGTGAAAAGCTTACCCTTTAATTGTATAAGATTCAGTCCTAATTACATCCAAGTATTTAAGCATTACAGAAATAAGATGTAGTCCCACCTCTTCAAATGCATTAATTAGCAGCAGGGGGTAAAACGTGTTGAAGTACTCCAGGTAGCTAGGAAACTGAACTGGCACTTTCTTCAGCGGTAGTTGGCACAGATCATGTGGACTCCCAAATGCTTTGTAATTGTCAAGCATCCTATATTCCCATTTAAGGATTGCTTGGGTCAAGATTGAAAGGTCAAACATCGGGCTTTGATCCATCGTGGGTACTGGTTTGTTAACTGGAGCCTCAGGTCTTTGGTATACCTTGTAAGATGGTGGCTCTGAGGTGGAGCTTATTTTAGAACTAGTGACCAACTCGGGAGCATATGGAGCATGTTGTGAAGGAAGTGGCTTTGGGAGTTGTGGAGGATGGAGAGGTTGAAATGTTTTTGGAGGTGGCATTGCTGGAGGCAGTCGGGGAATCTTCGCTTTCGCAACATTCGCAGCAGGAGGAGGCTTGGCTTCTTTTTCCATTTCAAGGACAAGCGAGGCACTGCGGGAGCTGGGGGTGTATATTTTTGTGGTAGAAGGTTTGGTCTTTTTCTGAGACATAGGTGACATGCCAGGCTTCACGAACAAATGATCATCATTTCCACCAATAGGAGTCTGAATAGGTTTAGGTGTCAAGCTTGGCCCTGGGGTATCTGACTCACTATCTGTATCAATGTCCATGTCAATAGGATCTCTCTGGGTAAGAAAGAGTTCTTCCTCATTTTCTTCATCAAACTGCTCCATTTGAGAGCACAGTTCCATGTCGGTGGGTTCCATCTGAGTGAGGAACATCCATTCTTCATCATCCTCCTGAGTAGGTTTTTCTTTTTCCATGTTGACATCAGCAGTCTCACTGGCTTGGAAATACTTGGATTCTATTCTCTTATTATTTCCAGCCCCATCACCTGTAGAATTGGTTCCTGATGAAGCCTTTTCATTATCCCGCTGATGGTCAGGATCTGGCTGAGGACAGGGAAAGATATCACCAGACCCGCTGCTTGCAACTGTAAGTTTCGGTAAGTGCACTTCACCTGGCTGATTGATCTTTGTTGGTTTGGGAGCTAATGTCATGATGGCTCCTGTTGCTGGCCTCTGATGCTTCTCACGACTTTGCTTGAAAAACTGAATATCTTGTGATCCCAGAAGTTTCTTGTTGCCTTTTACGATGCGTTTCTGTGAAGAAGTCTTAGTGGCTTGACGCACTCGCCTTGTCTTCTGTTGTGGTTCCACCTGCACTTTCTGACCATGACACCTCAGTTTAGCAACACAATCCAGGGAGCGCTGAGAAAGTTCAAAAGCTTTCCTTTCCTTCTTTTTTAATCCCAAACGCTCTGCTTTTGATTCTGGCTCAGCAACCTTACGCACCTTCTTTGGGGGAACAATTGCAGGGGTATCACTTGAACTGGGGGCAGAAAAATAAGGTGAGGAAACAGAGCTGCAGGATGGAGAGGAAGATGATATACCACATGAGGATGGAGTAGTTGAAGAGGAAGGTTCCTCTACGTCCTGAGATGTGGAGCTGCGTTTCAAATGGTGGCGTCTGATTTTTTGAGCATGGGCATTAATTATCAATGGCTTTTTAGGCTGCTTCTTATCAGATGGAGTTGTTTTTGTGCTTTTAACCAGTTTTGGTTTGGCAAATGTATCCCAGCTTTCTGCAGTACTGGATGCTTTGGACAGTGACGATGCACATGAATCCACTGGCTCTTGTGGCTGATGCTGTTCTCTGATCTTATCTTCTGCTTGCTGACAAGCCCTCTCAATGTCTTCATCTGGAATTAGTTCGGTCTCTGAACTTGATGGAGATGCTTCATGAGGAGCTTCATCCACCTGTGGTTTGAGTAGTTGGTCCGATTTGGGCTTCTTCGTCAAGTCTGACGCATCAAAATCGGAATCATCCCAGGCAGACGCCACATATTGCTGGGTCTCAAACTCAAAGACCTGTGATTCACTGAGATCATCATAATCACGACCGGGACTCTCAGACAAGACACAAACTTCTGGAGACCTCAGGATGTCATTTGGCCTTTCATCATTATCAGAATCATCATCAGAGATAACAATGGTACTGGACTCCACATTTTCCTTTGAGGTGCCCATGGACCGGTTACAAGTTTTTCCAACAGCCCTACTGTCAACTTCGGAGTCGCTAGATTCAACTTTGAGGATAGATTTTGTCAGACGAACCAGTTTAATATCAAGGGGTTCATCGTCATCCTCCTCCTCCTCAACAGCTCCAAAACCACATTCCTCTTTAGCTGATTTTAAGGACTCACTAGGCTTTTGTTTGGCAATGGCTTTGATCTTTGACAAATTCTGGTTATCATTTAATCTGGATTGATTTTCCTGCACTCTTCCCAGATCTGGTTTAATGCGTTCCAACTGAACAACTGGACTCAGCTGTGAAATTGACACTGGGTCAAGTGTTTCCTTCTTAGCCTTTATGATATCCTCAAGACCGCTGCACAAATCCTCATCCAAGTTCCAATTTCTATAATTCCAAATTGACTCGTCTTTGATAAAACCAGATTCATCTCCTGCTCTGCTCGGACCTGCCTCCTGGTCCTCATGTTGTTTCTGATTTAGGGTTGGCACTGAATTTCTGGAAATAACAGTATTTGTAGCTGCCTCCACTGATGGTGCACATGGTGGTGGAAAAACAGAGAGTGGAGAAGCAGGTCTTTCTGGCATTGACCGGACAACTCTTAACAAACACTTCTGAAGCTCATTAGATTCAGAACGTGTTAGATTCCATCGTTTGTTTGTAACTCCACGCAACTGCTTGCTAAGCAAATTCAAAAAGTGGGTCGCGCTTGGGACAGATCTCCTTATCCCTTCTTTTAGCAGCAGTCGAATCAGTTTCATGCAGTCAGCAATTATGGCACCATTGCCTCGTCCAGATGCAGGCAGTCTTCCAACTATCCCAAGGTTGTATGAGGTTGAACTGACTCCGTGAATCCCACCCATCCTCTCTGGTGGTCCATGAGTTTCATCTGATTGGATGATGCACAAGACAATCTCTCCCACCCACTTGTGGGCACAGCGAGAAAGTATTCCCATTCGTCCTTCAGTAGAGTGTAGCTTAACAGTTTGAATAAGGATACGAGTGAAGAACTCGGTCACTTTATCGCACACACTCGTCTGTCCGGTTAGCATGTGGCGATTTTCTCGTATCTTATCACAAAGATAGTGGATGACTTCACTAATATAGGAAGCGTTGAGCTCTGGAAGTTCCATTATGGAACGGACAAATGGAATGAACCACAGAAAAGTGCTTCCGTATACACGCATGCTCTGGCCCATTTCAGAATCAAGCACGGTGATCAGGGACTGCATATCCTCATAGATCACATAGTTGCTGGAAACACCACTGTTGGATGACGAACCAGATGCCTACACGATGAACAGAAGGAAAAACAGTATTCAGCTTTTTCCTAACAAAGAGTGCAGGAAATGTTTGTTGCATAAAGAGAATGCGGTGTCAAAACAGAAATCTTACTTGGTTTGGTTTTTCTGAGGCATAACAGTCATACACCATCTGACTGCAGGTCACCATATTGTCATCATATTCAGGTTCCACTTTAACCATCCCGCTGTGCATAAAAAAAAATTTATTAAATAACTTCTCACAAAACCCTACATTACTAAGCACTTTCTGCCAACAAAAGTTCCACCAAACATGGCATTTCACAGCAGCCATTTATGGTCCAAATGGCACCACTTGAACCATTTGCCTTGTCAAATAATGGGCAGGTTCACTGAATCAGAAATTAAAAAGAACTGTTTTTGAAGGTATGTGCTGATCTTCACTGTTAAGGTGCTGCATTTTGCAGCTAGTATAGATGTAATTTTTTATATGCAGGAGCAATGCATTTGAAATGGAATCATTACACTTTAAGTCTTTTTTTGGTTTGTTTTTAATTAAGGATCTGTGGGAATAGTGCTACATTTTAATTATGTGTTTAAAATTGCAGCTGTCGTGGCTTCTGCCGACCCTGTGAAAAATCCCTCCCAATGTCTTGGAGTTTTAATGCCAGAGATGGATTTTATTATCAGAAAGATAATATTTCACATGCCCTTTTATACAGGTTTACAAGGCCAAGTCAATACACTGCATATATGACACTATTGTTTATCCACTTTTTGCCCCAACCTATATGTTCTCACAAGATGACAGAACAAAAGAGGCCTCAGTTTATCACGTCAGCACAAGATCACCACATGTTTTCTCTTAATGGCACCTCATCACATGAGCACACAGTTAAACACATGACTATAATAGTAGAATAACGAAGTACCTCACTGCATTTGAAAATAAGTTGTGATAGCCTTTTGATGAGTCACGTTTACGGCAGATCCATAATGAGAAGCAGTGCAATGCGTGTACTACATGGCTGCATTTTTGAATTACTGCATTTGTTCTATGCAATGTCTACAATTCAGCATGCCATCAAATCTTTTCAATAAATTCAAGATTTTTTTACCCCATGGTTTTTTGCCGGATGCTTCTAATTTCCGCAACATAGCTGGCTGCTCCGGTGATTGTCTGGAATGCTGTATTAGGGTCAACCTGACCCCAGATCTTAGAACCAAGTCGGTCCAGAATTACCATAAAACAGTGGAGGGCTGGCCAGAATGGGTCAGAAGCTGGGTTATCCTCTGAAAAACATAAGTGGACCACTTTTAATCTATTGCATCTCATCACATCATGAAAAGCTCATGACCACTACCATTTACATACCATTTTTCAACCCATCCATTGTGTTGAGTATGCAAAGCGGTATGTTAATCTGTCCCATGAACAGAGAGTCCATTGCCTCCGCACTGAGCTGCGTTAGTAACATACAGATACCTGTAGGGCACAAAAGAGATTCACTTTAAAAAAGTGACATCACACTCACCAAGGGATGAACAATGAGAACCAGTTGCCAATTCCAGGTCAAACTGACACCACAACATATTCAAGTGCTATACGACAAGTTTCCAGATTAACATGCACCCGAATAGGGCACTGTGCAACACTTATTTTACAGTAGGTAGACACTAGAGCAATCCACCTAGCCCCCTGAATTTCTAATCCCATTCCTTTCTTTCAAAGATCCAGTTTCTATATTAACTTTCCCTGCCATTGACTGAATTTTATGGCAATCCATGTTTTGTTTTTTGTCTTCTTCACTCGTAGGGGTGCTATTACGCATCAAAATAAAAATGGCAAATAAAACGTCAAACCCATTAAGAGGTATAGGACAGTGCAAACTTTGGGTTGTCAGAAAAAATGCTGGCAGGAAAAAAGTTAACTGCAGGATGGTGAGATCTTTGTCAAGAGCAGAGGAATGACTGCTGTCCAGCTAGAGCGAGAAACCAAAATATCTCAAATTGTAGAAGTAACAAAAGGAACGGGCATCATAAAGAGGATTTGGAGAAAACTAATAAACAGACCTAGCCAGTAGTTCTTCTTGTTTTGCGAGTCATAGAGGTGAGAGGGGAGCGTTTGTATGACGCCCCCTGCATAAGACTCTTGATCCAAATCTGGAAAGTTCAAAGACATTCCAAGCTCAATGACATAAAACATGCAGGAGAAAATCTCTTGAAGGTCATAGTAGGCGTCCCTGTCCACACTCTTCATGGTCTTTGCTGTATCGATTGCCCAGCGGCGCACCTGGAGTGGAAAGGTGGAGTAAGAACAAGATTACCAAAAGAGGACCAGCCTAACAAGATATGGCTTTTTGACTGAATTACCTGTTCGTTGGGATGAACGAGAAGCAGATATATTCCTTGATACTTCTCGAACACAGACAAAGACTGCTTCATATCCTGCAACTTACACAAGGCCTTTACCACCAAATCACCTGTGGAGAAAGAAAAGAATATGTAGAAAAGCACTAAAATCACACTTGTTATTATAAGCTTTGGTTGTGATAAGTAAATTGTCAAATATTTCTGAACGACAGCCAAAAAATATAATTAAGTGCCATCTGCATTGGATGCTTGTATCACCCTGTCAGTGTTTATTTTTAAAATAACGACTAGCTGACTCTACATTATTTTCAACATTTTGTCATCTGACTTTCTGATTGCCGTGTATTTCTACTGTTGACTATTTATGCCACTACAATTTCCCTTGAGTGATAATTTACTCCATAATCAACATTTAATAACGTGAAACCACATGGCTAGCTTGTTATCAAGCTCTTTGGCACCTTTATTACTAGAGGATTAGGAATAGAACAGAAGAAAATATAAATGGACCAGACAACAAAGCCGAGATGCCAGCTGACCATCTGAATTGGCCTCTTTCCAAGCTTCCATTCTCATACTTTATCATAAGTCTCATACGTTATCAGTCACTGTCCAATAAGCATATAGCTCAGGCTTTTATACATGTTACTCCCGTTGCTTTTCACAATTATTTATTAGCTCTCTTGATTCTTCTTTAATAGCCTACTGGTTTGTTTTTAAAGATAACTTTTTTTATTTAACCCTCTCCAGGTGCTCAGAGGTCCCAGAGGCATATACAGGTGCATCTCAATAAATTAGAATGTCGTGGAAAAGTTCTTTTATTTCAGTAATTCAACTCAAATTGTGAAACTCGTGTATTAAATAAATTCTATTCACACAGACTGAAGTAGTTTAAGTCTTTGGTTCTTTTAATTGTGATGATTTTGGCTCATATTTAACAAAAACCCACCAATTCACTATCTCAACAAATTAGAATACTTCATAAGACCAATAAAAAAAACATTTTTAGTGAATTGTTGGCCTTCTGGAAAGTATGTTCATTTACTGTACATGTACTCAATACTTGGTTGGGCCTCCTTTTGCTTTAATTACTGCCTCAATTCGGCGTGGCATGGAGGTGATCAGTTTGTGGCACTGCTGAGGTGGTATGGAAGCCCAGGTTTCTTTGACAGTGGCCTTCAGCTCATCTGCATTTTTTGGTCTCTTGTTTCTAATTTTCCTCTTGACAATACCCCATAGATTCTCTATGGGGTTCAGGTCTGGTGAGTTTGCTGGCCAGTCAAGCACACCAACACCATGGTCATTTAACCAACTTTTGGTGCTTTTGGCAGTGTAGGCAGGTGCCAAATCCTACTGGAAAATGAAATCAGCATCTTCAAAAAGCTGGTCAGCAGAAGGAAGCATGAAGTGCTCCAAAATTTCTTGGTAAACGGGTGCAGAGACGTTTTTAAAAAACACAATGGACCAACACCAGCAGATGACATTGCACCCCAAATCATCACAGACTGTGGAAACTTAACACTGGACTTCAAGCAACTTGGGCTATGAGCTTCTCCACCCTTCCTCCAGACTCTAGGACCTTGGTTTCCAAATGAAATACAAAACTTGCTCTCATCTGAAAAGAGGACTTTGGACCACTGGGCAACAGTCCAGTTCTTCTTCTCCTTAGCCCAGGTAAGACGCCTCTGACATTGTCTATGGTTCAGGAGTGGCTTAACAAGAGGAATACGACAACTGTAGCCAAATTCCTTGACACGTCTGCAATTAAAAGAACCAAAGACTTAAACTACTTCAGTCTGTGTGAATAGAATTTATTTAATACACGAGTTTCACAATTTGAGTTGAATTACTGAAATAAAAGAACTTTTCCACGACATTCTAATTTATTGAGATGCACCTGTATATTACACATGAGCTATCGAGATTTTAATAATCCTTTGCATGCAGTGTACACATTCCTCATTTTTGCACCCTTCACCAGGGGCGTCGCTAAGGGGGGAAGTTAGGACGATTCTAAGGGCTCACGCACGTTTTCACTTGTTGAGATAGTGAATTGGTGGGTTTTTGTGAAATGTGAGCCAAAATCATCACAATTAAAAGAACCAAAGACTTAAACTACTTCAGTCTGTGTGAATAGAATTTATTTAATACACGAGTTTCACAATTTGAGTTGAATTACTGAAATAAAAGAACTTTTCCACGACATTCTAATTTATTGAGATGCACCTGTATATTGCACATGAGCTATCGAGATTTTAATAATCCTTTGCATGCAGTGTACACATTCCTCATTTTTGCACCCTTCACCAGGGGCGTCGCTAAGGGGGGAAGTTAGGACGATTCTAAGGGCTCACGCACGTTTTCACACACAATTATCTACAGTGTATGAAGCTAAAGGTTTTCGGGTTAATGTTCATAATGTAGAACATTTTTAACATTGTATGCTGTATGTGCATAGGTAGCTAGCAAACAAGGAATACAGCTGTTAAGCTAATAGTCACATTAGCCGAGTAAGATCATGATTGATAAATGTTGGATACTGCTGGAAATGCTGCTATGGGGTATCCGATTTATTATTTTAGGATTTTTTTGTTTGCCCCAGTGAAGCATTTCTATTAATATAACTGATTAAGTAGTCAAACTCATTCCATATCAGCAGAATAGTGTGCTACAGAAAGTCTATGTCCATTGAACAGGTTCTGAATGAATTATGTTACTGATACCTAATGATCAAAAGCAATAGCAAAAGTGATAGGTCAATATTATTAAATTGCAGACAAAGATTTTGAATAGCTAGTTTGGCCTGTACACTATATTGCCTAAATTATTGGGACACCCCCTTCTAATGAACAGGTTTGACTACTTTAGTAATTTCCATGAGTACAAATCTTAATGTTTAAGCATATAATGATATTCCGGGTAATTGTGTGCTTTTAATTTTATACCAATATTTTGGACAGAACCCTTTTCTATTCTAACACAACAATGCCTCTGTGTATAAGGAAAGGTTTATTTATATAAAAAAAATAAAAATAAAAAAAATAAAAAAAAATAAAAAAGGTTTATTCATAGTGTTTTGCCCAAGGTCTGCATTTAAAGTCACACCAGAGGTGTTCAGCTGGGCACGCATTGTTGTGTTAGAATAGAAAAGGGTCATGTCCAAACTATTGCTATAAAATTAGAAGCACACAATTCCCTAGAATATCATTATGTGCTTAAACATTAATATAAGGAAAGGTTTATTTTAAAAAAAAAAAAAAGGTTTATTCATAGTGTTTTGCCCAAGGTCTGCATTTAAAGTCACACCAGAGGTGTTCAGCTGGGCACGCATTGTTGTGTTAGAATAGAAAAGGGTCATGTCCAAACTATTGCTATAAAATTAGAAGCACACAATTCCCTATAATATCATTATATGCTTAAACATTAAGATTTGTACTCGTGGATATGACTAAAGTAGTCACACCTGTTCATTAGAAGGGGGTGCCCAAGTACTTTGGGCAATATAGTGTATGTTTGGTGCAGTAGGGGGCCCAACCCCATTTTCTTTCATAGGGCCCAAAATTGCTAGCGGCGCCCCTGCCCTTCTCATTCACGTAGGCCTTTAAAATGCATCAGACTCTCATAATATCAAAGCAACTTCTACAAATGTCTTCTATGAGATAGATGAAAATATTTCAATCTATCAATAACCTTCCAGTTTTCAGATTTTTAACCACCCACTACACCACATGGAATGATGTTGGATATGAGAATGTGACTTACACAGATCACGGTAGCAAAGCAAGTACGGATACTTCAGAACTTCAAACAGTGGAGAACGGAGACGGTCGTGGAATTCTGCAGGCAAGATCTTCGACACCGGCTCCACGTGATCATCTTCGATAATAAAGATATCGTCCTCCTCCAGCTCCTTGTCCAGAATGGCTCCCAACAAATGCACGAGTCGAGCCTTCTCCATTTCCCACAAATGCTGCAAGAAAGCAAGAATTAATGTCTGGACACGTGCAAGCTCAAAGAACACAACATTTATGCATTTAGCAGATGCTTTTATCCAACATGAATTACAAGAACAAAAGCAATTAGTCAAAGGGCCAACAATCTTCATAATAAACAATGCCAGTTTAATTAGACAACTAGATTAGGAAGCAAGCTAGGGAAGAGATGTGCAGAGAAGAAACATGGTGAAAACACCAAGGTCTTCTGTTCTTCAGAAAATGCAAAAGCTGAATCAAACTTATTCCACTTCTATAGCTATTGTTAAATGCACTTTTGACCTTCTGCAGCATACACTTAAGCATTTCAGATTAAGCACATATGGCATGCATTTCTGTGCAAGTTTTTTGTGATCTGAACAACTTGGAAGTCTGGAAGTGTGTGATCCTCAGAAATTTAGTATATGATGGTTACTGTTTTAAAATCAGTTTGCAGTCACTACCTCAGTTACTTCTTTTGGTTCACAATTCACATGGCCTTCAACATATTCTTTTGATTAAAAAAATTAGATGAATACACTGAATAATCACTTTGTGATACAATGTAAATGTTTTGACAGACAAGACGGCAGTCTGCCACCCTTACAAAGGGAACAAGATGACCAATTAGTGAGGTGACCGTGAAAGAAGAATTAGGGAGTACCTGTGAGATAAAGGAGGAGAACAACTGGAAAGAAATCATTGCTTAAAAATGTAAGTGCAAATTGCAAGCAAGATGGTAAGATGTTCTGCGGCTGCAAGAATTTCAAATTTGTTGTCTCCAACAATAAAGTCCGATTTTGGCATCTGAACTCTGTGACTTGAGTGTTACTTACTTGCACAGAAGAGAAGGCAGTTTCTACAAGAATTCACAATGTTAACAATGAAAACATGTGAAAAGGGTCCATACAACAACATTCTGAGATCAACAGTAATTTGTATCTTTACAAGTGGTGGCTTCTGTGAGAAATCACTCTCGAAGTCTTGAGGTTTTGATGCCAGAAGACTTTATTATCAGAGATAATGAAGCAGAGAGACTCTGCAGAGAATCTCTAGAGTCTGTAGGCGCATTTCCATTACCCTTCAAATTGCGAAAATTGAAATTGCGAATTGAAAATATGCCTAATGGAAACGTGTCAATTTTGCAAAAACGCCCATATATAGCAAAAAAGTTTTTACGCTCACATGAGGTGGTTTTTCAGGCAATGCGAAAAAGGAATAATTCGCAAAACTGCAATGGAAACGTTTTTTCCGCATTTACAGGTCACATGGCGTATGTAAAAAGTCATATGACCATTCTTCAACGTACTATAACCTCCAAGAAACACTTCATACGTGGCGGCTCTCCAGTATAAGGGGCTTTCCCTAATGTTAATGCTTAGTTTACATTGCACACGTCTGTGGTGCAGTGTGGCTCTAATATGGCCACTGAAGCTGATTGCGGCCATTAGTAATGCTTGTGATTATTCCAGCCACGCCACACACGTTTCTGAAGCGGCTCTCTGTGCTGCTTCTGTAAAGATACTAAATAAATTTAGCCAAAATCCGTCAAAATCCCACCAAAATCCGTTGCCATGACTTATCGCGAGAGGCAAAAGTTTACGTTTTAGTCGCATAACATTGGTTAATGGAAATGCCGTCATTTTGCAATACTTTTTTTATCGACATTTATAAAATATCGCCAAAGTTTTGCGCAAATCTGTAATGGGAACACACCTTGTGTGTCTGTACAATCTTTTATACAGATTTTCCAGGCGTTCTACACATTTCACACTCCCATACACTATATGCCTGCAACGTCTGTACATTCCACTCGCCTGCAGGCCTCCATACACACAGGCACATGATCATAATTTACATTTAATCATTTAGCAGACGCTTTTATCCAAAGAGACTTACAAATGAGGACAACAGAAGCAATCAAAACCAACAAAAGAGCAATAATATGCAAGTGCTATGACAAGACTCGGTTAGCCTAATGCAGTACATGTAGCAAGGTTTTTTTGGGGTTTTTTTTAATAGTATATAGTATAGAAAATGATTAGGAAACACTAGTGTTAGAGAGTCTTTTTTCTAATAAATAAAAAGAAAACAAGTAGATAGAATAGAAAAAGAACAGAGAAAGCTAGTGTTAGGGACCTTTTTTTTTTTTTAAAGAAAACATGCCGTTAGAAAACGAAGAGAGTGCAAGTGTTAGAGAGCTTTTTAAAATAATAATCGTAGAATAACTTGATACACAAATGGCTATATTCACAGTAATTATACTTAATTCATATTTTTATTCATAAAAATCGTCTACATACCGTATGTAGTACGAGTTAAGGCTGCTCTGTGCCAGCTCAAAATTCTGTGTAAGGACAGACAAAAATATGCCTGCTCTCGCACCTCAGTAAGAAAGTATCCAGTTGTAATTGCTGTGCAATTGCATTTATACCACCTCCGAGCCGTATTAAACAGTCTGTGTACAGACAGCTAAATGAAACTTCAGAAAGCCCTTCTGTTAGCCCCTTACAGTGTGACTTTTGCTCAGAGTGTTTGTGTACCTTGTGCAGATCAGGGACCTTGTCTCTGGCTCGATGGTACTCCACCACACACTCCAGACAGCAGCCGAGGTCTTCATTCAGAGAGTCCATCTCTCTCTCAGACAGCCGTACTGAGCTGTAGCGACGCAGCATGGCGACTATCGCTGCGTCACCCTCTGCCTCCAGGGAGGTGGTGCACCACAGACACTTCTCCATCACGATCACCTGTGCACACACAGATACAGACAGCTTAATATAAGGCATTCTTAAAGCCTCCATATGATTCTACAGCACTTCTCTCCTCATTCTCCAAAATGCCTTCAAGCATCTTTTTAGCAGCTTAACACTCATGTTGAGTACACAAATACAATATATTCTTGATCACAGATTTAGAAAATAACAGTGGATTAAAAGGGACACTTCACCCAAAAACGAAAATGATGTCATCATTTACTCACCACCAAGTTGTTCCAAACCTGTATGAGTTTCTTTCTTCTAGAGAACACAAAAGATGATATTATGAAGAATGTTGGTAAGCAAACAGTAGCTGGTAGCCATTGACTTCCATAGCGTGGATACCTGTGATTCTTCAAAATATCCTCTTTATCCTCCTTATTATGATGTTGAAAACAGCAGAGTAGATTTTTTTCAGGTTTCTTTGATGAATAGAAAGTTCGGAAGAACAGAATTTATCTGAAATAGAAATCTTTTGTAACATTATAAATGTCTTTATCTTCACTTTTGATCAATTTAAATCATCCTTGCTAAATAAAAGTATTAATTTCTATAATTTCATACTGACTCCAAGCTTTTGAATGGAATAATGTATAATGTTACAAAAGGTTTTTATTTCAGATAAATGCTGATCTGTAGGTCTTTCTATTCATCAAAGAATCCTGAGAAAAAAAAATTCTGTTTTAAATATTGATAATCAGTAAATCGGCATATTAGAATGATTTATGGATCATGTGACACTGAAGACTGGAGTAATGATGCAGAAAATTCAGCTTTGATCACAGGAATAAATTACATTTTAAAATATATTCAAATAGAAAGCAGTTATTTTAAATAATAAAAATATTTTTTTAAAAATTGCTGTACTTTAGATCAAATAAATGGAGGCTTGGTGAGCAGAAGAAAAATCTTAAAAAAGAAAAAAAAACATTAAAAATCTTACTGTTCAAAAACTTTTGACTGGTAGTGTAGGCTGATAGCCAGTATAAAGAGTGTGAAAAATGCAAACTGATTCTCGGCCAGCAGGAGACTCTTTAAGAGCGGTTGAACTAGCGGTTTCTCCAGTAATGGCTGTAATCAAAGCAGCTCTGCTCATGAACCCTTCTTTATTAGATTAAATAAAAATCCCATCGAAACTTTTCTGAAGACAGTCCTTTCCCTTTAGAGATACATTCATATAAAACACTCGCGACAAGTTTTGATTTTAAAACGTGCAGTGCTCATGTTTATTCAATGAAGTCAAACGCCACAAATACATCAATGTATGGGAAACACTGGTAATGTAGGCTATATCGAAATATCGGAAATGTGTTTAAAAACCATATCACAGTTATTGAAAAAAAAAAAATTGCGATACATACTGATATTTAATTATTGTCCAGCCCTACCTCCATATAAAAAACACTCATAAAGGTTTAGAAAAGTTGAGGGTGAGTCAATGACAATTCATTTTTAAGGTGAACTATCTCTTTAAGAACAGTCTTTATAACTGTGCACGCAAAGGATGACAAGACTTCAGCAAAGAATAGTAGTGGGCAAAAACTGAAAGTAAATGACAGGGACTGTCAGACACTAAGGATTGTTCCTAAACAATACAGAACTATTGCAACCTCAATATTCTCCTTAAATACCCTGTTTCTATAGTATCATTTTATGGCGATGCCGTATATTTTGGTGGAAGCACTATGACAACTGAGACAAGTTACAACAGAGTTTGGCACCAGAACTGAGAAAACGGTGTAAACACACTAGACATGTACCAGCCTCTCCACTGTATGAGACTTATTAAAAAAAAAAAAAATTAAGAGGATAGGGAACGTAATTGTAGCTAGAGACTAAGGCTGAGCAGGGAAGAAAGATAAGGAGAAGAACACATGTGAGTGAGGTAATTGGTTTTGAACTGTATAAAATAGATATATTTACATTGTCATTTTGCAGATGCTTCGTTTTTCTGTCAATATGGGGTGCTGTGTGTACATTAATGAGGGAAAAAAATGAACTTAAATTATTTTAGGAAATGGCTGCAATGTAACAAAGAGTGAAAAATTTAAGGGGGTCTGAATACTTTCCGTACCCACTGTAGGTGTCGGTAATGCACTTATAAGTCTGCGATTGTGTCTTTACACGAACCGTGCTCTGGCCCACCTCTTCCAACAGAGCCAGGGACGGCTAAACGAACCGAGACCGATCACACTACTCAAACGAACCAGGTTTTGGGGGTCAAACGCGCTCGGGCACGGTTAAGATTGCCTAGTGAGAGTACACCCTTATTCTCCCGCATCCCGCACACATGAGTCTCTACCCGCCCATCAAGTGTTGTCCCGCACCGCACTCTGCTCCGATGCGTCCCGCGCAGGTCTCTACTCGGAAGGTGCCTGTTATAATTAGGGTTGGGTATCGATTGGGTTTTTTACGATACCGGTGCCAAATCGATACTTTTAAAACGGTACCGTGCCTAAAAAAAAGAGCCACAAAAAAAAAAACAATGGATAACATTAAAGAACATTAGAAATATTTAAAATAAATATACATAGCATTCACATGCTCCTCGGATGCTCTCATTTCCCGAGTTGTGCTTCCCTTACTCGAAGGCTAATAAATGTATTATTTAATACAAAACAACACAATGTTTCTACTGTATATCTGTCAATCACTCTGATATTTAGTTAAAATGAGTGAATTGACTGAGTGCTGTCTGTCACTATCTTTAATCAGTTCTGTGAATGACTGTATGGTATGCCACATGCACTGTAATGTTTTTTTTTATATTACATTTTCAAATGAAAATAGCAACATGATCATTTTATTAAGTATGCGTTCATATGTGTTAAGGGCTAGATTTTCGCTGGAGGAAACAGCTGTGGTGTGATGAGGGGTGAACACAGCGAAAACTTTACAGTAGCCTAACGTTTGATGGGAAACCGATTGCTCCCCCGTGACATTTTGTAAACTGTTTTTATGACAAAGAACTGCACAGATGCAGATATTATAACAATCTTTCGATAAACACACACCTTGTGTCGTCTGTTTTTTTAGTCCCGCTCCCGCTATATATTCACTCTGTTCATCCGCTGTCCGCTTAGAATTATTTTCTTCCCGACCCGACCTTTCCCGTTAAATTAAGATCTCATTTCCAGAATCTCACATTTAAATTTCCGCTACTGAAAGAAAGAGTGATAGGCTGACAAATAAAAGTGTAGTCTGCACAAAATTGTATGTTATTTTATTCGTCTTGTCAAGAGTCTTGAATTTATTGAATTTGACTTAAATTTATATGAATTATCTTAAAAGGCACAATATGTAATTTTCACCTAGATGGCGCGTATTCAAAATATACAAATAGACAAAGGCTTAGTTTGATGATGCCGTGACTGAGTGTGGAATCATGGGAGTTGTGGTCTTCATCCGCACAGCCGACGCAATCCGATGGGACTCAGGCAGATTTCTCTCACGGGCCGCCTATTGAGGAACCCTGGTATACACACATACAATCATTACACAAGAACACATGTAAACACACATTATAGAAATACTAACATACACACTTCAACGTAAACCAACTAAAATGACACGCGTGAAAACACACACAAAAAAAATCTAAAACAACAGTCAAATAAAGTGACTAATTGGTCTATTTCAAGCATGCATTCAAACACACACATGTACCTTCAAAAACACAAATAAACACTTAAAGGCACAATATGTAATTTTCAAAAGCAGCGGAGCTTTTATTATGCCACAGTCGACTGCTTTGCTCCTTCCGGTCGTGCGTATGTGGGGTAAAGCAGCGCCGTTTTATCATACTATATGCATTTTGAAAGTTGTAATGCTACTCTGTGCGGTCGTCACCTGTCTATTAAAACGCACAACATATTAAAGCGTCTTTGGTGTTTCCATGTTTTCCACAAAACAAAACCGGAAATCGAGGGTGTATGACGTCATTGGCAGGCGACACAATGACACTACGGACACGTCCCGGGTCACTAGTTAAAATTGCTTATTTCTCTGGATTTAAACATTCTTCGAAACATTTGGGATAATGTAAGTACACAAGTCAGCAAAATATATAACACTGTTCTAGTGGGTTTTGGATATTTTAATAAAAAAAATCTTACACATTGTGCCTTTAAGACACAAGATTTGTTTAATATTTTATGCAACACAGTAGGGAAAAAAAGTGTCAGAGAAAATCAAAATGTTCTTATTTTTATTCACCTTGTCAGGATACAATTCGTTTAACATTGACAACACAATAGGGAAAAAGTGTCGCAGAGAGAAAAAAAATCAAAATGTAGGTTGTACAAAAATAGCCTATTAGCTATTTTTATTCGTCTTGTCAAAATACTAAATTCGTTTGACATTTTTCTGTTAATACAGTAGGAAAAGTGTCGCAGAGAAAAATAAATAAATACGACATCTTTCATTTAAAATTATAGGCTAAGCAAAATATAAACAAAACCGAGTTGTACGTCCTTCAAGGACAGCACATCCACACTTTGCTCCATCCTTATTCTGCTCTGTCACTCATCGACAACCTGCCTGCTCTGTCTGAGGGCCGTATATTTACCACCGGTACAGCCTGT